CACAGGTTGTACTAGGCAATACGTTGAGCTCAGTGTGACTTTTTGCCGCTTTCTGGTATGCCCAAACTTTTAAATCCTCCACTGTGTTTCTGTGTGCACTTCATAGTCTCTGAATTCAGAGATGAAAGACCAACCGAGTTTGCTTCTTCAGTATTTTCCATCTGTTTCATATAGTACGCAAGCAATGTTATTCCCCATATTGTTTTCAAGACAACAAAATACCTCTACATCTGCCTTCCCTTTAGATAACTCTTTTTCCTTCAGTCTAAACATTCTTACTTGATTTTCTTCATGCTCACCTGATCTAGAAAGCAGTGCTGCTTTCTTGGTGATCTAGATTAAGACAAGAAAAGAAGATTTTGTAGGTGTTCTCTGCTACTATTGAGGCAAATAATAATTATGCTTTCATCAATATTAGTAATTTCAGGCAGAGAAGCAACAAAAAAATCTTATTTTCTATCAGTTGATTTTGGAATAGTATTACAACAGGAGCAATGTATGATTAGGCCATTTTGAACCTATAGAGAAGGACTCAACAAGACAGCTAGGCTTCCAAGTTCCATCACCACGGAGATTAAGTCACCTGTGTGCAGATGTTGTGCATATATGATGTCAACTTACGGGGAACAAAGTGATCTGAGTAAGCTCACTATTTAACTGTTAGAAGTGATCCATCTCCATTTTTATTTTTTAATGAATCCAAACACTACTTCTAATATTTGATAAAGAACGGGGTCAAGACCAGAAACATCACAGAACTAAAGCTCTGTGCCTGCTTTTCAAAGTCAGTCTCCCCTCTACGATAGTATTGAAGACTCAAAACACCATGAAGCGATTTGTCATGCATCTTTAATCATAGTACAATAATGTGGTGTTTCTGCCTTTAATGAATACTCTCCAAATTGCCCTTTTTAATGAAAACTAAATGCGTGCAAGAAAGTAAAATTACACTGCATAAACAACATTATGTAAATTCATCTTTCAGTGTGTTTGAACAACTACTTGCATATGGTCAGAAGAACAAGTTTTAGAGAACTGCAACTGTTTTCTAGCCATAAGCTAGACATAATTCCCATCTGAATGTTGTGCAAGGCAGTTACATTTCCTCCTACTGGAAAGAGTAGTTTACCAAATCATTCTCAGCGAGGTACAGTGACAGTAGGAGTTTTAAAGTTTTGAAATAAACCTTTAGCGAGTAGCTTACTATGGCAGAGAGCTGCATGTGCAGCAATTAATTTACTCAGCATCCTGATTTTGACTAGATCTCACACTCCACATCAACTACATACTATTTTGAAGCTAAATCTAGACCAAAATTTTACAGTTGTACCTAAAGTTCTTACTGGCGTAAGAGAGGTCTGTGACCTACTGAAGACTTTAATCAATTTACAATGAACAGTACCCAATAGGGAATAAAGTCACACTAGAGGATCCTCTTGTCCTAAATTTGCAAAAGCAACATCCACAATCAGTTCAAATGGAAGACAAATTTCAAAGACTGCCAGCGTATTACAAGCAGCTACCGATACCAAAACCAGATGCCTGCAAGTGTCTTCTACTGGGATTAATTTCTTAAAATAATACAGCTTTTTGAACAGACAGAGCTTTAAACAGGCTGGATGTATTTATTTTTCAAGCAGCACAAGAAAAATCAAATACATTACTTGTATGTTCAATTATCAAGCAACAATTTCTGTGTTTAAAAAACTGCATTCATGCCTTCACTTTTACAATTAAATACTGCCACATTAGTTTCTCTGCTTAGTATTAATTTCTATGGAAATCAGAAGCTTGTTTAGGCAAAATACGAAATTTAATTACAAAGGTGCTTAAAACAGATGTACAAGGTCAAACAAGTGCAATGTACTAGAACACTGATCTAAAAATGATAATTACATTGTGATATTTGAGGAAACTGGTGTCAGATGTGCACAGGAATTAAGGTTATGACACAAAAATGATTGATGAAAAACACCAAACATTTTAGTCAAATGAAATATTAGGTCAACGATACTTAGTCTTGTGGCGTTTTGGGGACTTACATCTCATATCCATGCTCAACAGGCAGTTCCTCAAATGCTGGCACATCCAAAAAGCAGAGGTTGATGCCAGAAAGTTGAGACGTGTGCTACTGTATTATCTGTAAGTCAGTTCATGCTGCACGTTGACAGCCAGAAATACCTTTGCAACATACATCATGACAGAGCTGTAACAATAGCTTCACAGTTCACTCATTAGAGGCACTATCACCGATTTATTTAGGACTCAGTTTTTCTTGCGGCGCAAAAACGGATGTCAGAGTCTTTGAAATGGAAGTCGACTGCCTACATCTTTCTGAATAAGTCATAATGCTTACACTGAAAATTTTAAAAAACAGAGGAGAGGAAAATAACTTGCATTTGCATTGGATTTACCTAAAGAGGTTACAACCATTAAATTAAGAAGATGACTACATGAGCTTAGATGAACCTCAGTGGCTGCATGCCTTCCTACAGCCCAAAAGTAAGTTTAAGCAAATGTCAAAGAGCAAACATACATGTTAATGAAGACCACATGTTATGAAGATCACTTTATCTCCACCCGCTGCATGAGCCTTAATCACTGTATGAGTTTAAATCACAGTGCAACTTGCTAGCAGGATGCCAGTTCTTAAAAAGACTGAAAACGAATACAAGTTTCTTATTCTATCATTTGTAAAGAAAGGAAAATACCCTTAATCAGGTTATATGTTTGGCTCCACAACAGAGACAGCGGGGAAAAGACTGCAGAGAAAGATCTGTCTGGTCGTCTTGCCCGTAAGAGAAATACTGTGAAGTATCATAACAGAGTCCCTGTACAAAGCAGCAAGCAGCCGTGCATCAGCTTAGCACTGCAGAGGGCACCTCATTCTGCCTTTCCTCTGATCAATCTACCAAAAAACAAAAGTCAGCTTTCTAATACCCCGGGGCCAGCGAAGGAGTCTGTGGGAGTAAGGGGAATGCAGAGAGCTAACAAATCGGCTACACAAATTTGGGGCATAGGAGAATTCTACAGAAGAAACTCAGGTGAGAAGGTGACAAAGACAAGGATATTGAAAAGGGATCCTTGAAGGTCCCGTTTCTATACCTTATACATGTAAATACCAACCACTTGCCTGGCTCCTAGAACTCACCATCGTGAGCTCCTAAGCCTAAATTTACCTAGTGTGCCTTAAGTTGCTGAAGTTAGTTTTATAGGTGCTTAAATCCTTTATGCACCTTTATTCAGTCTTCACTACAACATGAAGCCTGACCACTTAAATCCCAGGCAGCAGATAATAATGTTAGCCATTTCACAAAAGCACGTGATTATTTTCGATTTTTTTTTTTTTATCTGCATGCTGAATCAGAAAGCTTTAGACTCATCATGAATAAATACAGCCCTAGTCTTATTTCACCAGAGCTCTTCCTGCATATCAAGTATTCCTTAGTCTTTGAAAAAGAGATAAATGTCTATTACAGAGTTGTGGAATAAAACAGAAAAGACCGTCAGAAGTTTTAGGAGATACACAAATACACACAGAGACCAGGAGCAATAGTTGCAGTTCTATAGATACATTTTACTTGTATGTCAGAAGCGGTACATTAGTAGAGTTTTAGGGGCCTTTTTTGCCCTACTCAAACTAGCTGTATACTCTCAGCTTTTCCACGGCCATTCTATCTAGTTTGTCCTGGAAAAAAATAACAAATCCCATGTTTTTCAATTGCTGTTAGCAGCAATAAAATTGATAACGAAGTTGTTAGACAGTAACTACATGATGCAAGTGTGGCTCTTCTACTAGCTTTTCAAATGCACCTAAAGAAATTAGAACTTAATTTCTTAAAACAAATTACATTCAAGCCTTCTTGTTTCTCTCTTGTACAGCTGCTGTATTTTATTTGAGGAATAGAAGAAATAACCATGACTTGAAGTCTTGGCCCCGGAAAAGAACATGGCAAAATGCTGACAGATACTGATGGAGCAATAAACTAAGAGCCTTTTACTACAGGAAGTTGGAACATTTGATAACGTAATGTAGAGAATGTAAACAGCTATCATGTGGGGATGTTAGATGGCTTATAGAGGTACACACATTGCAAGAAAGAGGAAATAATCTCAGAATCAGGAAATGTAGAAAGTGGAATACGCTTGCATACAGAAGACACGGCATGCATGTTACATAAGAAATACAGCATTATGCCACATCTTTTCACATAAACTATTATATTTCTTCAAACAAGGATACGAACTGAGCCGTTTCAGTTATTTTCTCAATTCTAGTGTTACTTTCCTTATGAAAAAAGTAGTTATCCAAACAGAACATTCCCTGAGTCTACACAGAAAATCAATATAGCTGATTTTCATTTGGAAGAGTCTTCATAACTTCACTGGCCAAAAAAACCCAAACAACCCAAAACACAAGCCACGCAGAGTTTGCTAGCTTTAGGTGTTTTTAGTACTTTGTAACTACATTGATGGCGTTATTACATCCTAATAGAACGAGACCTCACAAAACTGTCTGTGATCCAATCCCAATTTGGGAGAATTGTTTTATAATACTTTTCCTGAAGAGATCTCTCCAACTGGAATCCCAGTCATGTCCCAGGGTTAAAACACAGCCAAAATATATGCAAAGTTATGAAGGCCTACTGCATAACATGAAGAAAATACTGATTTTGCAACTGTCACACAGATTTGGGGACACAAAGAGAGCTAGAGACAGATTAATGCAAACAACTGTACATGGCTGCAGAGGAGAAAGGGAAAAAAACCCTTAAGTTAGCCACGGTCTTACTCTGCACCCTGCTGATTTTAGTTTGCATGTGAAAGCAAGAACGTTCCACCTGGCTTAGAACCCTTTAAGGGTTTCCACCATACACTTTTGGCAGAGATGCTCTCAAATCCAACCTGAAAGAGGAATCAATATTTATACTCTGCTTATTTCTAACAAGAATTCACAAACATTTGGCTATTTGGATTGAAAAATATAACTAGTTTACATAAATATTTTCAACATCCAAGAAAATGTACAAATCTAAAGTCAAACACATTTGGCTTGCAACAAGCCCTGTTTGCTAACGTCTTTATAAAGGCTCAGTTTTAAAGAAAAGTAGTCATTTTAAATACAACCAATATACTGCAAATGCCATCCCATTGTATGGAGACACTCACCATTCTTCTGTATTTCTAGTGAAACTGAACGATAACATTCCACGTCTGCTCGCAAGCAACATGTACCTTTCCTGGGTAGTTAATCTCCACTCCCATATTTTGGAGCAGTCTTTTTACAGCTCAGAGAAAGCATTGCACCTGAAATATTCAGCAGCATTGTGCAAAACCATCATTTAGTCCCCGATGCTTTGGGTTGACTGCGTGAAAGTGGAAAACCATGATGACATAGCTGATTTCGCACTTGTGAAGGCTCCTCCAACTGATTGACCTGCGTTACAAAACAAAAGATAGAAGGTCAATAGTATATTGTTATTATTACTAAGATACTACAAAGAAATATAAACAAACAAGCAAAAAAATCACACAATCAGTTGTCCAATTTGGGATTTAAAAATCCAAGTCTGTGTCAGAGAACATTCAAAGAACTTGAACATAGTAGCTCAGCAGAAATGGCCTGTGTTGTCCTTTGCCCTGGAAGGTTTGCTAGACTTGGGGCCGAAAGGCGCTCCTCGCCAGAGTGTACAAACTGCAAAAAGAGTAGAAAGTCTCCAATGGAATAAAAGAGGAAGCTAAACAATTTTTGGCAAAGCTACTGCAGAACTATCACATTCTTCAATGGGTGAACTCACATTATCTCACACTGCAAGATGACAGTGTGATGTTGCCCCTGTTCAAGTGCAACAAGTGCTGTTCCAGAAAATTACAGACTATTGCGAAACCTGTAGAAACTGACACGAGGTCTTCCCCTGATTTCAACCAGCTCTGGATAGTTTCAAAGTGATATAAAAATGAGAATAGCTCAATGCAGTAGGCGGTGTTGTGGTCTTCAGCTTTTCTAGATTACATGAAAGCTTTTCCCTGAACATCTCTCTTCCGACGTTCATCTCCAGCCCGCATCGGGAAAGGAATTTAGACTAATTTCTTTGGCCTAGCTGCTTCTCTTTCCGCTATTACGCAATATACAGGGCCTCAATCAGCAGCTTTACCCCTCAAAACGTTGCTCTGTTTTGAATGTATGTTATAAAGTACACCTGGATTAAAACAACATATAACCGAGATATAGGATGCTTTGTCAAAAAAAGATATGGCTTAGATGGTTTTAAATAAATTTCTCACCTACAGCTTTTCCCGTTTGTACAACATTTCGGCTAGTAGAAACCATCACATTTCCAATCTTCTTTCCACGTTCACTGTTTTGCACAGAACTAAACAAGAGAGATACTGAAGACTGTTAGTTCACTGACTTCTTATTACTTCTTATTACTTCAAGGTGTAAATAAAATACATAGTTAAAATATATATCAATACACACACAGATTTATATAGCATACATAAGTTTTTATATGTCTGTATATATATATATGTATACACACACACATATGATCAAACCCATAATTCCTGCATGCATCTTATCCACACAGATCAGTTAGGGAAGCTTCTCAGAGGAAGAAAAGATACTGTCAGCAAGACAGGAATCAAAATGCCCAGTGGTTCCGTCTTACACAACACACTTTATACCTTTCCTAAACGTTTACCAAAATGCATTTATGTTCTAAATTACAAAGTCCGATTTGCAGTAGTTTTGAGAAGTTTTAGCCTTAATATATAAGCTTTAAACAAAACAGTGTTCCTGATCAGTCATTATTCTTTTTTCTAAATAGAGTTTACTTTGTATCTTGCTCTAAGATTAAATTTTTGATCAGGTACAGTTTACACTCATGCTTTTGTTAAAGAAATGCAAAAAGACGACAGACATTACCATCACTTGGAAAGGAAAGTACAAAAGCAATCAGTTCTACTGCACAAGTGTGATCACTTTAAAAGAATCTCATTTAGTTTTAAATTGTAACATTCAAGTCCACATTTCAGGCTTTGCAAACCCATTTAGGTAAAAACTTAACAACACAGCATGCCACATTCTTTTCCCACTTTCAAAATCTTCAGGGTAGATGCAAAAAGCAGGAAGAATAGAGTACACCAAGAACAAGTTTAGGCTCAGTTTGCAAAAGCAAGTCATTTTGATGAGTATCTGATAGCAAAGTCACATCTGGAGAAAAAAGGCACTGTTGTAAAAACACTTATTATTAGAGACACACTAAGAACTACCGGTACTTTTACATTGATTTCAGGCTACTCAGAAGAGTTAGTATCTCCCCTTTCAAACACAAAAATAGGGCAAGTAAAAGATTATAGACACCTCCACATCTTTCGAATGAAGTCTTTCTACAAAGACCATCCGTTAATTATAAGAGCTGCTATCAGCATGCACCTTATTGAAGGCAATTACCTTGAGATAAATCTTGATTCATTTGCATTCTCAATCGCCATCACGGAAATTTAATCTGTCATCGGTCAGCAAAAGCAACAAAAAGATTCAGCGGGCTGAAGTCTGAACCTTTTTATTGCTCAAGCTGTTCTTCTACGTTAGCATGTGTTTTAGGTCTACTCACAGTATACTGAAAATAGCAGACTACAGTCAAGGCAGGTGCAGAATCAGCAGCATGTATGTATTACTGATTTACAGGCATCTTAACCAGTCTCTGATGTTTTATGGTCAACATAGCTAAGTGAGAAAATCTATTTTGCTTGGTGCATAAACAAGATGAGATAGTTAACTGCAACTCCAAGACTGAATTCTGGCTTCAGTTAGAGCTGAACTGTTATGCGAATAACAAGCACTACTGAGTTTTAGACTTGAACACTATAGGTAAGAGGTGAGACCAACTTAAAGTTCAGTTGAGCTTGGTACAGTAAGAGATAATGTAAAACTCATTTTAAACTTCTGAACTGAAGAAGAAACTGAACCACATTTCAGTACATCTACAGTCAACTTAGAGTTTTAGAACAATGCTGTATTAAAAAACAGCTAATTTAAAAAAAGCTGTTTTCTCCTAATAATGAGTCCTAAAGTCAACATACAGAAAAACACCAATAAAAGTTTTAACAGCTTTAGTTTACAATTTAAAAATAAGTACACAAAAGCATTATAATTGCAATGCAAAAAATCAGGGCTATGTTATGTAAAGTCAAATACAAAAGAGTGCATTAGCACTGTTTTTCCCTATTTCAGGCAAACATCTTTAGATGTCACGATGTTTTGCAAGAGAACATTGAGTATAGTTTTAATGCACATGGCCAATTTAAATCATTATTTTGTTTAGTTCATAACAACAGTTATACAGTTATTAATATTTGACCACACTTTAAAAAAAAACCCAAATCAAAGTACCATATACTTACTGTGACAATCTTAACTTAACATCTGATACAGAGTACTGTCCCTGGAATGGGTGGCTAGAAGAGGAGGAAAAACCCGTGAAAACATTAAATGTTTATTTTTTCCACAATGAATCCATATCACACAATTATTAGCTATATACTCCTCTCTGTGGCTTACAAAAAAAAAAAATCTTTTGTAGATATACTACTATATCACTTTACAGAAGGCTATGTCCCCGTGACTATTCAACCTTAGATTTCTTATGAACTACCTGTACGGTGCCTTCTATTTACAGATATTAACAATCTTTTCACACTAAGGCAGAAGCACCTCCTTCTAGCAACACAGAGCAAATAAAGAAAAAAGACCCCTTAAGTAGACCAAAAGGGCTTTGTAGGTCTAAAGAAAAACCTTCTTCAGACTGCAGCAGCTGACAAAACAGAAGCAAACAAAACTCCCTGGGTACAGTAGTAATGACCCATGCTAAACAAAACACATGCACAGCCAACAGTGTTACTGAGCCTGGCATCATCTGATCTTTGAGTAAAAATACACATAAAACAATCCAAAGCATAGAAGATGCAACATGAAACAGCCAGCTCCCCTCCATCCCTATCAATGACAACCCTGGACATGGCTATTCCCTGGATACCTGGAAGCAATTAATAAAAAGCAGAACCATCTGAGGACAATTCCTGAGGAATGACAAACTTTCTATAGCTGGGGACAGCCAACAATCAACTTGAACAAGTTCCACTTCTCCTGACTAGGGATATATTTTTCTTCATAAAACTATAGCCCAGAATTCAGAGTAAGGTACTGAAGAACAGAAATACTCTGTTTCTATACTTACAGAATAAGAGCCCAAAGTTTCACCCTCAGGGCTTTATACCAGGAACAAGGGGAACACTCTAATTCTACAGAACGGTGTGTGCCTAGCTACGCATACTGGGAGCTTTCCATATTAAATGCTTAAAAAAAAAATTAAATGAAAATGGTTCCTTACCTAGAATTTACCTCTGCAAGACCTGGATGCTTATTACTATTCCATACTCTGTAGTTGTGGGTATTTTTCCAGGCTGCTACAAATGCTGTTCCAAAGTCTGACAAAGTCTTTTCGTTGTCTGATAAAATAAAGATGAGAATTTGCAGCACTTCATCAGAGATATAATACCAGACAATTTTTTTTTTTTAAAGAAAAATTAAATTTTTCCAGCTCTTAACAAATCAGAGACAATCAAAACTCTAGTACTAAGAACTGGGCACTTTAAAATGAAAATAATAAAACATTTTTGAAGTGTCCCAAATATACAAGCCAGGAGGAGAAAAAAAAAAAAAAAAAAAAAAAAAAAAAGGTTAAAAAAATA